TTTTTTCTCCCTGGTAAATATGTTCTAAGCGTATGGGTAAGAACATCGCCGACGTTCTAAGTGAAAGGTGTTAAGAATATGAGGCCATACACATAGAACATGAGGCCATATACATAGAACATGTCTCGCATGTACTCATAGAACATGTGGAAGGCTTTGTATAAACACCTGTAAACACTTGAGACATTGCAAAAGTCACAGCGCTCATGTGGAAATGCATATGTAGATTGCATATAATTACACAGCTCACAAGCACGCGGCTTGGAAATGCACAGTTGGAGTGTGTGTTGATTGAACGTTTGGTGGCACTTACAACTTTGAAACATTTGGTGTGCCAATGAAGCATCACGGCTCAGTGCTCAGTGCTGCGTTCTTTTCTCACCCTGGGTGGTTTGCGATGGCGGGTGAACCTCCGCTTCCTCCACCGAATGAACCACCACCAGGGCCTTCAACACCCAAACAGAAGGTGACGGAGCAAACAAAGTCAACGACAGAGGTGCTTCCAAAGGCAGTCAATTCATACCAGTATGGGAAACTTGGTTGCAAAGGGACGTGCTGGATGTTCTAAGTGTTGCTTCTGAGGATGGGTTTGAGGAATTTCCAGAAGATACTCTAGGGTTATTGAGCCATTAGGTATGTATAAATTTGGGTTTGCTTGCCAATGAAGACTTGGCAAATTCTTTGGCATTTTCAATCTAGTCTATGTTTCACAGAAGGAGCGGTTGAAATTCTATATGTTATGTATGTTCTAAGTGTGCATGTTCCGCACGGTATGAAACAACACCCTCTATGGCACTTCTTGTGGCACTTCTTATTATTGCATTTTCAGGTTTGCATCCCTAATTATATGCTTATATAAGTATATATATATACATCCTAAATGTTCAACTGCAGTGATGATCTGCCATAGCCATAGAATGCTTTAGGGCAGCCTACTTCTGCTTTGTTCTAAGCGTGGGGGTAGTGAGACTGCGCGCGTGAGGTACTCGGTACGATTTGAATGCCATATCCGGAAGTTTCTCAAAACCTCCTTCACCTCCCCTGAAGAAGCCAAAAATGCTGCTCTTGCCTATGAGAAAATCAGCAATGCCATGCTGAGCAAGTTTGACAGCCTGCAGGGCAAGGGAAAAGAACATTGGCTTTGTTCATCACATATTTTCTAGTTTTTTGTGGAGTGTGCGGTGTGTATGCACATGTGCTATCCAGCCTATATATATACTGTAACCTGGTTTGGGGCTTACATCACAAACTGAAGCGAACGTTCTAAGTGTGTAAGCCCTGCATAGGTGCATGACCCACATGTTAATGTTTCAGAACAACACAAGAGGCAACATACAGTGTCATGTGAGGCACAACCCCGTCAAGAATGGCAAAAGAAGCATGGTTTACCAACAACGGGATCGCTCAATAAGCAGCGAATGGGCATCATGGACATGCTCGCCCAGCAGCACGTGGTTGAAGCAGAGATGCCTATTTTGAAAGCAACCAACTTGTTGAGCATGACTGGATGTGAGCAAATTGAGGTTGACCGACCACTTGGGCGCTTACGTGTCAGCTTCAACTCGGGAGATGCCATCATCACAAAGCTCTTTGATACCCACAAAGCTGCTTATGACTGGCTGTTGAGTATGGGACATTCCTTAAAAAGTGGGGTGCTTGACAAGAGCATGCGCGCCGCCGCTAAGGAGGTGGCACCGGGTGTAGATTTGGAAAGAGCCGCAGCAAGTCAGACCTCCAAGGTAGATCTTTCAACAGCTGTTGACACCCTGCAGGGCGCTCAGAAGCTGCAAGGTGATGGTGGCATCAAGGATGTCACGAAAGAGTTTATGGAAGTGACAAGAACTCATACCGCCCATCTTCCCGAATCAGTGGTTTGCTTGCACAAAGGGAGCATGAATTCCGTGACAACTTTGGCGGCGTCCAATCCTTCCACGGTTGCTCTCCTGCTGGGGAAAAAGGCTTGGAATGACAAGTTGCATTGCATGCAATTTGTTCTCTCCACAACTACAGTGGCAGACCTGGCAAAACACGATCGGGTGGCTGCACGCTGCAAGACTTTGGGCTTTAGTCTTGTAGGGGCTGTTGTGACGGGTCCCTATGAGGAATGGGCCAGCCAAAACAAAAGGAATGAAATCTTTGATTTGCTGGATTTTTCCAACCCCTTGCTGGTGACAATTGACTTTTCAGCAAATTGTGCTGGAGATTTGGCATGCTGGGAGCTGAGCAGGGACAATGATGATACCATGAAAGCGGTCTCTATCTCTTGGGTGACACAACCAAAAGACCGATCGCGGCGGCATTGCTACAATGTGTGCTGGATTAACGACCTTGGCACCTCCCACATTGAAGCCACTGCAAAGCAAGTGTGTGCATCTGTCCTGCAGCATCTGAAGTCCCAGACTGATTTGTTGGCAAAGGCAGACAGAACCAAACAAATGAAACTTTCATACTTTGAGAAAGTTTCAACCATTGCAGATGGTTGGTGCGGGTGGCACTCCATGCTTGCTGCCAGAGATGTACAGCGATACCTCAAGGTGCCTCGCAATGACTCCATGTACCCTATCAACTCCAGGCTTCTCAAGCAAGAGTCAGATGCAGCGAAAGAGCTTTGTGCATCTGTTTGTGATTGCGCGAGGGGTGTTTGCCAGCCAAGTCATCATCCTTCCATCAGCAGAGTGGAATCCTCTGGCTACTTTGCTCCAACTGATTTAGAATGGATAGCTGAGGCTCTTGCGATGACAGTACGCTGCACATGCTGCATTCAGGCAAGGGACACCCAAATCGAACATCCTCAATACTTGTATATATATATATTTATAGTACATATACCATATACTGTGTAACTACTTACTGCAGTTAGTTTCAATCTGGGATGTTCTAAGTGTTGCGCCTGTCAGGTTGGGACACTGAACGGAACCAACTTGGATGTCGTCTTTGGCGAAGATGCACCAAGGCTCCATCTCTACTTTCACTTTGACAAGCCTGTGGAAGGTGGTGACAGCTATGGCCACTACAGTCTGCTGATTCCTGCTAGCAGTGATCAAAAAGGTGCACTGAAACTTCTTGAAACCGTGCTTGGTCAGCATCCAGTGCCAAATGTACGATTTTTTTTCCCCCACAAAGGGTGGAGCTCTAAATGTTTGAGGCCGCGTGTAAGATATGTATCTGATGGGAAACACATACACACACACATATCTGTATATATCTGTGAATTATAGAATCACAGTGCTTGATATATAGCACACTGCTCAGCACTGCTGAGGTTCCCAGAGCGCATGCTGCTGAATCCATCTCACTGCTTCTGTTGGGGGAGGACGATGGTGATATCAGCGGGGCTATCAACAATTCTGTGCCTGAACCAGTTCGACCTCCACACACTCGACAGGTTATGAACGAGCAGCAGGTACCTCTTGTAGCTTTGCAGCATCATGATGCGCAACAACAAACTCCTGCAGCACCATCACACTTAGAACATGCCAGCACTACTTCAGCTTCAGCAGATGCATCAAGCGACAGAGCAACATCAGTGGAGGACCCACCAAAAACA